CTGCCCCAGCCACAGCCCAGCGCCACACTTCGCGTCCTGCCGGGAAATGTCGCATCCAGCATAGACCCTCATCGGGAGAGAACGCTAGTCGCCGGGTCTCCAACCAGCTGCACTAAACTTTTCGTTGAACAGTCTTCCATCTCCTCCAGCCCTGACCGCTAAGCGCCTGAGCCTCCAGCTCGCTCACCTCTGTCTGCCTGTCGCCCTCGCCCGACAAGCCCGTCTTCCCCCATTTCACGTCGCTTGGAGTAAAATCTCAGCGCCCGGCATCCCAACACAATGCCCGCAACCACAACTCTGCTGTCCCGGGCTGGGAGCCAATTGAGCTCGCGGGGGTCAATTGCCCTGCGCGGCGCCCTGCCCACCTCGAGATGCTCCGCGTACGTTAGCTTCACTCCCGCGTGGCATTGCCCACAATCCTCCGACGAGCATAGCTGACACGCACGTATACAGACGCACACCAGCCCTGTCCGCGCTCGCACGCTACTATGCCTCCAAGTGTGAGCACTCCCACCGCGTCCCTCGCGACTAGATACTCCGCTGGCCTTCGCATTGCTAACGCAGCCCGCAGCCTACCCCTCGCACAGCGTTATCAGCATGCCCGCCCTCTCCCCAACCATGACCGCCGGAAACATTGGCGCATGGCAGAAGAAGGTTGGCGACTCAATAGCGCCCGGTGACGTCCTCGTCGAGATCGAGACAGACAAGGCACAGATGGACTTTGAGTTCCAGGAGGAGGGCACCATCGCCAAGATCCTCCGCGACGCTGGCGAGAAGGACGTCGCTGTTGGAAGCGTAAGTCGAGGTACACAAGCTTTCGAGGGCACCATGCTGACTTCCACAGCCCATCGCTGTTATGGTTGAGGAGGGCGAGGACGTCTCCGCATTCGAGAGCTTCTCCATCGAGGACGCCGGTGGTGACAAGAAGGCCGACACTCCCTCCAAGGAGGGCAACGCCGCCGAAGCCAGCGAGCCCCCGAACACTGGCTCCAAGACTGCTCCCCCCGCCAAGGAGGAGTCTGCGCCCGCCGCCATCGAGTCTGAGTCCACCGGCGACCGCCTAGAGACCGCTCTCCAGCGCCAGCCCGCCGTCTCCCCCGCCGCGAAGAAGCTCGCGCTCGAGAAGGGCGTCCCCATCGGTTCCATCAAGGGCACTGGAAAGGGCGGCCAGATCACCAAGGAGGACATTGAGAAGTACAAGCCCGCTGCCGGTGCTGCCCCCGCTGCTGGCGCCTCCGCTACCGCGTACGAGGACGTTGAGGCTACCAGCATGCGCAAGGTCATTGCTACCCGTCTCCGCGAGAGCATGCAGCAGAACCCCCACTACTTCGTCGCCTCCAACATCTCCGTCTCCAAGCTCCTCAAGCTCCGCGAAGCTCTCAACGCCTCAGCTAACGGCGAGTACAAGCTCTCGGTCAACGACTTGCTTGTCAAGGCTCTCGCTGTTGCCGCCCGCAAGGTCCCCGCTGCCAACTCATCCTGGCGCGAGGATGGCGGTAAGGTCATTATCCGCCAGCACAACACTGTCGACGTCTCCGTCGCTGTCTCTACCCCCGTCGGTCTCATGACCCCCATTGTCAAGAACGTCAACGGACTCGGCCTCCAATCCATCTCATCCCAGATCAAGGACCTTGGCAAGCGCGCACGCGACGGCAAGCTCAAGCCTGAGGAATACCAGGGCGGAACCATCACCATCTCCAACATGGGAATGAACCCCGCTGTTGAGCGATTCACCGCCGTCATCAACCCCCCACAAGCTTGCATCGTCGCAATCGGCACAACAAGGAAGGTCGCAGTACCAGGCCAGGCTGAGGATGGTACAGCGAGCGTTGAGTGGGACGACCAGATTGTCATCACCGGCAGCTTCGACCACAAGGTTGTCGACGGTGCCGTCGGTGGCGAGTTCATGCGCGAGCTCAAGAAGGCCATTGAGAGCCCTCTCGAGCTTATGCTATAATCTGATTCTATTTTCGGTGCATTTGGGACGACTGTGTAACTTTACTATTGGGCTAGATGAGATTGGATCTCAGGGACAGACGATCTTATGTACAGCGGATGGCGCGTTTTCTATCCCCCATGATCATTTGTCCAACCGTCGTATTGCATGATAACCCCTTGTATGAAAAGATATCTCCCTTCTTCGAATCGTTTTGCGTCTGTTGTTGCGTAGTTCATCACCCTGCACGCCCGGACTAATGGTAAATCTAGACCGGGATTCTCGCCTGGAAATACTTCTGCGAACCGGGACGGTGGTAAGCTATATAGCCGGCACGTATATGCAGGACAATAGGTGAACACCACAGCTCAGTCATCCCACACCTGCGAAGATCACATGCTCGTATAGCCCCACAGACGAGGCATTGGAAGGGTGTGTGGGGAGCAAACAGGCTGGCTTCACAGTGAGTGAGAGCGATAAGGGTATCGGTGTGTCGTTGTGATGGCGGTGCTTTCCTAAATTGAGTCCCATCGCGCCTGCCTGTAGCAGCTCTACATCCTTCCCTCAATACACTGGCACTCACAAATTCACCAAGATGCTTCATACTACTCTCTCTTTCTTACTCTTTTCAGCAGCAACTTTTGCTACCAACTTTGATTGGGAGCGCGAACAGCTCATTGACGAGGATGCAGCTCGGAATGACGCAGTGCGCTTTGGTAGTGCATCACAAGCTGCGGCGCCTGCTGATTGCAAGATCATCCCGGGTGACGCTGAGTGGCCGGGCGAGGATGTCTGGACCTCTTTCAACGATACGCTCGGTGGTGTGTTACTGAAGCCGAAACCGCTTGCCAGCGTCTGCTATACTGGTGAGGGCTTCAATGCAGCGAGATGCGAACAGTACAAGAGTAACTGGGCGGGCATGAACCTACAGTGAGCTCATTCGTAACGCAACGTGACTCTTGTTGTGTCGTTCTAACTACGACAGTGCCGATGATCCGACTAGTATCATGTCCCAATGGGCATCCGGGAACGCATGCACACCAACCTCACAGCCAAACTCAAACTGCTCACAAGGCGGTTGGCCTGAGTACGTCGTCAGAGCTACTACGTTGAGACACATCCAACTCGCAGTCAACTTTGCTAGGAACCAGAACATTCGCCTTGTGATCAAAAACTCGGGTCATGACTTCAACGGGAAATCCATCGGTGGTTACTCCCTCAGTGTATGGACGCACAACCTCAAAGGCATGACGTATGATCCGAACTACACCTCACCAACTGGTTCGTATACAGGAAAAGCTGTTGCTTATGCCGCCGGTACCCAGGCTTCTGAGGGATCTACACTAATGCGGCAGAAGAACATGGTCATGATTGTGGCAGGCGGTTCAACCGTAGGAATCGCAGGCGGTTTTCTCCAGGGCGGTGGACATAGCGCCTATACCAGCTACTATGGTCTGGCGGCAGACCAAGTGCTCGCCATCACTGCTGTTACAGCTGATGGAAGGGTAGTCGAAGCACATGAAGGAGAAAATGCAGACCTGTTCTGGGCTTTCAGAGGAGGAGGAGGGGGTAATCACTCCCAGCAAACAGGGAATCCGCCTGTCACTGACCAAATACCAGGTACATTCGGCATCATCACATCCGTTGTCGTCAAAGCATTCCCGGTCACACCGATTACGTCAGGTAGTGTTCGTTTCTCAACGACACCAGACCGCGGATCAAGTGCGCCTCCAATCTCTGCAGAAACCTTCTGGGCCGGTATGCGCGCGTACTGGGAGTTTTCGATCGCCATCTGTGACGCAGGCGGCTTGGGTTACAGCTTCATCTACCCAAGCAGCAGTAGCACAGGTCTTACATTTACTGTCAGTATCTCGGTTCCCAACAAATCTACCACCGAATATCGGCGATTTGTCCGTCCTTTGCTCCAGAAGCTCAATGATCTCGGTATCCAACAACCCATGCCAACACTCAAACGCTCTCTCACGCCATCTTTCCCATATGAAGACGACTCCACAAACGAAGCATCGCCTCTTTCCAAAAGAGTAATAGGCGAAACAACAGGCCACACCCTAATAGCATCCCGCTTCTTCCCCCGCATCACCTTCTCCACCCGCTCCACACTAGAAACCTCCCACCTCGCCATCCGCCACGTCGTCGAAAACGGCTCCCTAACCTTCCACGGCATGAACTACGCGCCCACGCTCTACGTCTCGGGAAACCCAAACAACAGCGTAAACCCCGCGTTCCGCACCACAGTCCTCCACGCACAAGCCTACGAATCCAACGCGCACTGGGACGGTAAAGCACCCATCTTATCGCACGAGGCACTGACGGAAAGACATCAGAGACTGCAGGCGTATATGCAGGGTTGGCGGGATGTTACGCCGGGTAGTGGGAGTTATATCAATGAAGGGGATGCGCAGGATTGGGAGTGGAAGGACGCGTCCTTTGGGAGTAATTATGAGAGGTTGGCTAGGGTGAAGAGGGAATGGGATCCTGAGGGTGTGTTTTGGGCGATTGGAGGCGTGGGGAGTGATGAGTGGGAGATTAGGGATTTGGATGGGGGGAAGAGGGAGGGGATTGTTACGCAGGATGGGAGGTTGTGTAGGGTGAGTTGATGGCGAGGAGGTGGTGAGAGCTATGCTCTGGGATGACATTTGCTTGAGTCTTGCTTTCATGAAGACCGGTGGGTTGGACTGCTATTTACTATACTATCGAAGAACAGCTGGAACTCATTCCTCACTAACCATCATGGAAAGCTCATTGTCGCTTCCCGGAGCATGTCGTACCGCTACATCGGAGTCTCGGTGCCTTTGCCCCTCCGCAGTCTGACATCCGGGACGCCTTAACCACGGAAAACATCAACGAATCATACGCATTGTGGAAATGCACAAGATCTCTTTTGGAACAACGGGGGATAAATCGGAAACTCGAAAACGGGAGCAATAGATAACAGAACGGCAACACACCATATGTCCCATGCGCCACATCCACCTTCCAACTATTTGGCCCCAATACTCCGACTCTTGCTTTCCTACACTTCTTCGCCTTGATCCACGTAACCATGGCGGCTACACCATCTCTCCTCTCCAAAGTCATCCTGATAACCGGCGCAAACAGCGGCATAGGAAAAGCCACTGCCCTCTCCCTCGCCACCCTAAACCCAGCACAGATCTGGATCGCCGCCCGTAACGTCGCAAGCGGCCATGCTGCTGTTGCTGAAATCAAAGCCGCCGCACCAACCGTCGATGTTCGATTCGTAGAATGCGATCTAGCGAGTTTTGACTCGGTAGCAAGAGCGGCGAGGGAAGTGGTTGAGGGTTGTGGAGGCCGATTAGATGTTTTGATGCTGAATGCGGGAATCGTATGTCCTAACTCTTTTCTCCCTGAAGCGTCGCTCATCTCTTTCTGTCTGGTTTCCTGTGTGCACATGTGTCGATGTATGCGATAACTAATCTTCGCCTTCTTTGACGATAGATGGGCGGTCACCCCGGTACTACACTTCAAGGCCACGAACTGCAATTCGGGACGAACCACGTCGGCCATGCCCTCCTCCTAAAGCTCCTCACACCAACCTTGCTTTCCACTGTCGAAACCACGGGCTCAACACTCCGCGTCATATCTGTCAGCTCGCGAGGCCACGCTCACGCCGCCGCGCTACCAACCGGCGGCATCGCGTTTGACACGTCGAAATCCTCGCAACCTAATCTGTCAGGCGTGAACAAGTACACGCAATCCAAATTAGCCAACGCGGTCTACGTGCACCAATACGCATTATCTTACCCACAGATCCTTAGTGTGGCGATCCATCCCGGCGACGTTTTGACAGAAATCTTCAATAAAGGCGTGGAAGGAGGTGATGAGCAGATCAAATATCTGGCGAGAGAGATAGCGCCGAAGAGATGTGGGTCGTTGGAGGAAGGGATCAAGAACGGAGTTTGGGCGGCGACTGCGGACGGCGTGCTGAGTGGCCGGTACTATGAACCTGTGGGTGTGTTGGGTATGGGGAGTGAGTTATCCAAGGATAGAGAGTTGGGCGAGGAGTTATGGGCCTGAACGCAGCGAGAGATGGAGGGATGGGAGCTCTAGGGAGGAGAAAGCGGATGCGCTGGATTGGGTGGTTTTGGGTTTGCATGAGATGTTCTTGAGTTGTAATGGTCCCCTTCAGGTATAAGAATGTCTTTCTTTGTCAGTCTTGTGCCTGTCTTTGGGATTGGCGTGAAACGTAATGACTTCCGGGCTACCGTCGAGTCGCCGTCTTCTGCATGTGACGACGACTTCGTTCGTGAGGTCTCCTCTTGTCGTTGCTTCCACATCTTGGAACATGTTATGCTCCGGCATCAAAGACCAGCTATACGGATCTTCCAAATTGGGTATTTCTGAGAGAGAGAAGCCGTCTCCAGCGTTATCCCCATAGCAAGCATCCTGTTCTTCAAGCTCCATAACTGTCTCCGCGATATTAGCTGCCGTGAAAGAATCCCACGTTCCTTCCTTCAGCGGGATCACCCGCAGGAGCCGAATAGCATGGAGGCGGATGCGATGGTATCGACACTTGATAGCCGTGTAATATAAAGGCGCGATAAAGCCGTATTCGCCAATCGAATCGTGGAGGTTGACGTTATCGGGTATAGATTTCGCTAAGGTGTACTCTTCGAAGATGTGTATGGCATGCACAAGTATCGTGAGAAACGTTGGCGTATACGCTTCGTAGTGCTGCTGAGAGTGCACTTGCAGACAGCCGCACATTATGCGCGCCATGGCATGATACATGAGTAGCAATTTGAGGACTGATGGTTCGCGGCACGTTGGAAGCTTTGCTGGCGGCGTCTTCCCGCCGAACGCCCACAGTTCATCTGGCTTCCTCCCAGCAGCTAAGGCTAGTTTGTCAACCGAGGGAAGTGTACTCAGATACGTATCGTACCACATCGCAAGAGAAGTCGTGATCTCCTCTTTTCCTGCTGTAACCGCAGCAATCTCGTCTTTAGTGCCTGGCCCCATCTTTCGATATTGTTGTGCTGTGAGAACAATGCCGTGCAATAGCACATCAAGAGTGTCCTTCGCCTCCTCGACAGTCGTAAAAGTAGGGTATGGTATTGTGTTTTCCATCGGCTGAAGGAATATATCGAGATCTTCCAGACCGGAACCGAACAGATTATTTTGCATATGTAGGGTCGCGAAGCTGCGCACGATGCCTTGGTCGATGCTCTTTTCATATGATGCCGGCTTGATTACGAGGACGCCATCGTGCGAGCGATCTTTCTTCGTGGTCATGTTCATCAGGACCTTTAGACCGTTCCGTAAGTGTGATTCGGCCAATTGGTATTGCCCGCGGAGGTATTCAAGTAAGGTAAATAACTGACAGGTGACCAATATGATTGTGACTGAGGCTTTGTCTCCACATCGCAACAGCGGCTGTAGCGACTGGATTGCTTTGCCATACTGTTGAAGCATGAACTTTTCCCTCTCATCCGGAGCTTGTGCCGAATCGAAACTGCATCTGTGCGCAGCGCTCAGCGCAACAGCAGCATGGAGAACAGCCGGTTCTGACGACGCTGCTGGTAGCACGATCGAGTTCCAGAACTTCGAAGCAAACCAACCGGAAGTTGTGTGAACGATGCGGATCCTGTATAACTGTAGATACCTGAGTTCCTCGACACCCAAGATTTTGGTTGGAGGCTTCTGGATCGATGTTGACACCAGGCCGTATCTTTCAACGTAGGTGTTCCCTCCGCCACCCCACAGTCCGTAGCCCTCGCATGTCCGACCAGTGGAGCGACAGCGAGAGCATACAGGCTTGGTTTCGTCGCACTTGACTCTTCGCGCTCTAGTCGATGTCGGTAAGCGTCCATAGGAACAGATCTCTACCCAGATCGCTGCAGAACAAACAGCCAATCGGTTGAGTACCGTGTCATTGAACAGGGGAGTCCACTTACTTGCAGGTTCCGCACCCTGATTTAGACTTCCTCCGTACAACACCTCTTACAGGTTGGTACGCAGCTTTTGCAATCACGTGTTGATTCGGTGTGTTGGCTTCTGGCTGCATAGCGAGAGCGACGTCTAGCTAGGATGACAAACATGAAGACGTCGCTCCAACTCGTTTTGCGAAGATTCTTAGCGGCTCGAATAGCATGTTTCAAAGAAGACGCAGGGAATGTTGCGAGACAGTTTGGAGGACGAACGGCCAGTCTGTCAGCCTTAAGCTCGCTAAACTTCGGGGAAGGTAGGCCGGACCCCTGCATACGTAGTGTCCCTCTCATTGGCCCGCTCGGTACAGCTAGATCTTGATTGCTCAATCTTGTGTTGACTAGAGATGTCACATTCCGCTGCATACACCTGTTAATTGTTAACATGTTAAAAACTTCCTAAAGTACTGTGTGCTTCTACCTGGAATAGTGCGACACAAATTGTACTCACCCCTGGTGGCGGTAGTAGCATGCCAAGACGACGAAGGCGCGAAGCTTGGGTCCACTGATGAGACCAAGCTTCAAACACGGGAATGGTCGATTTCTCCCCTCGTCCACCCGAGATTAGCACCCTATGCGAGTGGAATCTTGGACACCTACGTACTTGCAGAGGCCAATACGGATGAACCGCCCAGGAGATTACATTGCGTCAGAATCTTGCCAAATTTCGTTAGGTATCATACTGATGCAGGCTGCAGGCTGCTACATAACCATACACGATCTCTTTGCCTGCTCATCCTCTCGCTCCTTCTCAGCGAGAAGTGCTTTCAGAGCATCTGCTCTAGCAGGCCCAAAGAGATATTTCAAGACACTACCATCCGTAGCTTCCAATCTGCTATCGAACAAATGAGGATTCCTTCGGGCTCCATGTTGAATGAGCAGTGTGCAACTTTGGTACCAAGCGCTCGTAAGGCTCGCTGAAGGCTTTGTACCACCCTTGCGGACACGTAGTAGGGCCTCGCACATCGAAATAAGGAAGAGCTGCCACACTGACTGGCCGTCATTCAGATGAACAGGCTGATTAGGATCCGCCTCACGTTCGAGGAGAAGCCGTACCATATCCACATTCACACTGGGATCATCGCGTTTGGAGTGGTAGGGCATACTCATGGGTGTAATGCGACGCGGGCGGAGCGCGTAGTCGAGTAACGGACGTCCGCCTTTGCGTACGTTGTTTGGATTTGCGTCCAACTTTGCACGAACGTACTTGACGAGACGGGCTTGCACGGTTAGTGCAAGAAAATTATACTTGTCACCCTCTCGATAAACATCAAGCCCTAGTTCGCCGACTTCGTCCCGGGCGTGCGTCCAGTGATTTCTGACATCGCGTGCGTGGTGAGTATTAACGCGATCTACTTCGTCCAGCACCTTTACCAGGGACGAAATGGGAGTTTGATCGCTCCGCTCCGTCTCATATGCGTAATAGAGTAGCTCGTCCGTTAGTCCGATGACTTTGTTGATCGAACGTGGTGCTTTGAAGTCGACATCCGGAAGTGATTTCAGCATGACAAGACACATTCTGCATAAGGCGGACATGGAGCTGAATTCGCCCTTCAGGTTGGCTTGTAGCTGCGAGTAGTAATTGTCCTGTAAGAAGTCGCGAACGGTCCGGTGAAGGAAGTCGACTGGGTGACTAAGGAAGAGGGGATGTCTAAGTTGACGACGCAGTTAGTAAGAGCATCTTGTAGACATTCATGTACTCAGGACAAGCCTGACGTACTTCGCATAGTTCTTGTGCAACGCGGGGAGACGCACACATTCTGCAAAAGACTATCGGATAGTCTAACATCTTAATGAATAGCCGTGAGCTGGACTTACTCTTCATTATTCACAACAAGCAGATCACTGCATCTGTTCTGGATCAATGACTTCCACTTAGGATACTTGCTTTTCAAGTCATCGTCACGAAGAGGCCGCACGGGGGCGTTAGCGGCATAGCTGAGGCTTTTACGTTCGCTTTCCAATAGCGAGAAAGCGTAAAGCGGGAGCGGTTGTAGTTCGTCGACTGTTATCAAGAAGATCTGCGACATCTCTTCAAGATACTGTGGCTTGACGGCTCTCAGAATACGCTCGAAGTAGGCTTCCAGATCTGCCGGAAATAGGTTGACGATCTTCCATAACATTGCGACACCCTCATCTCGATTGACTGCATGCACAAGGTCACGAGTAATAAGGAAGACCCATAACCATACGCCTTGGGCAAGGTCTGCAATCTCCTTCATCATCGTTCCGCAAGTGAAGTCGCCATCCTCCAGACGTCGAAAATTCTCATTGTCTGCGAGTTGGCGCTTAACATGGCGTCCCATATCCCTTTTGGTAAAGTCTTTGATGTCGAACGTGCGTGACTGGTCATTGAAGAACTTCTCAAAAACCGAGCGAGGCCGCGTCGAAGCGCAGATCTTGATGTCTTTGGATGCAGAAAGAAATTTCAGGGCGCTGACAACGTCCTCTTCAGCCCCGTTGTATTCGTCCAAACCGTCGATGAAGAAGCAGAACTTGACTTCCAAGTCCTTCTGGTTAGCCAGGCGGGCAAATGTAGCTTTCAGTTCTTCTGCATCCCATTCCTCGTGCTCGAGACGACTTGGACAGACCACCTCGATGAGTCTGGGTAAAGATTTGAGTATCTGGTACAAAAGCGATTGGAATAGCCCCATTTGGCTCTTTTGCATTTCGTAGCCTTGATTCCAGAAGTAGTAGCTTGCTGTGCAGAGTTCAGTCGTGCCGGCCCATCCTTGAAGACATTCCAAGGTACCAGGGTGTTCAGAGACGAATTTCATCAGGGTTGATTTGCCGCTGCCTGCCTACATTAACTACGTTAGTGTAAATTCAGAAACTGAGCAGAATGGTATTACCCTTCCTGTGATGCAGAAGAGCGCATCATCTCTATCCGTGCTGTCTAACCAAGTTGTGAACGGGGTCAACGAAGCGTCGAAGATCCACATGTTCGACGCTTTGTCGGCTTTTGGGATTTGACCCCATCGTCTGCGCAGTGCTGGAAAGTAGAGACTTCTTATGACAGCAGTTTGTTTAGTGCATGCCATATGCTCTTTTCCAAGTGCGTCAAACTTGGTCTTTAGACTAGCTAATTGCGCCATCTGCGTGGAGCCCTCGCTCGTACGATCCTGTGCTACGAGAGTGAGTATTTCGCCTCGAATTTGGTCCAACTTGGCGTCGTAGTTGATGGCCAGGGCATCTTGAGCCTTCTGCAGAACATCTAGTTTTCCTGACAGTGCAGAGTGATAATCACTAGAAGACAAGTCAGTCAGAGTGCGTTGGTAAGAACAGCCAGGCACGCTCTCACACTTCGTGCTCACGTACCTCTGAATAACGAATTTAACATGCAACCGAATTCGCTTATCTAGCGCCTCAAGCCTTGTTTGTAGAGAAACGAGATCGCGCTGGTTCCAGAGACCTTGAAAAAGGACGCGACTACTTTCCAAAGTCTTTGAGCGGCCTTCCCGCACATGTAGCCGGTCGATAGCCTTGTGTAACTCTTCGCCTATCTGACGACAATGTTGTACCATGCTCAAGATGCCTCTTTCATCTGCAGACAGCTGTTGACCAGACGATTGCTGCCTCTGAACTTGCCCATGATATCTTTCGACATGTTCCACAATAAGCTCAAGTTCTCGAATTTCCGTAGTGGTGCCGTGGAGAGAATCGCGCACGCTCCGAGTCCCAGAGACGAATTTGATGCCAAAGTCGATGAACGATAAGATGTTAGACACCAGCCCGAATATAGCGAGCACTTCAGCCATTCTCGATCAAAAATAGCGTGAAGCTCCTGTAGATGGGAGCTGATAAAGGATGCTGCTGCTATGAAGCTGGGCGACAACACAGCCCTCAGCTCCTGCAGTCAGAATGTTTTTGATTGGTGGAAAGCAGAGCTGAGTTCCCAACGGAACGAATGATTTGGGGGCGGTAATAACCTTGCAGATGCATACATGGAGCGTCATCCTCAGCTATTCGTATTCCGTCGAAGGCTATCTTACTTAGCATTGCGCACATAGTAGTCCTAAAGGCGATTGCAAGAGTACCCACCAAGAGCGCAGCTACAGTACGAACTGCATGCGCTCTGGCCATTATCCGAAGAATTGTTCAAGAAATCGCTCCAGGCTACTAGATTGTAGCTTTGTCAATGTCGCAGAACTTCCCATTGGAGCTGAACTGCCTCGAAGCTGCCCAACACACAAATGGATACACAGTCCGAGTTCGTCAACCATTGCGCAGCTTACAATTATGATGAGCTGATGCAACTTAGGTGGGGGTCTGCCCAAACCTCTCCTGAAGAATATGTATATCCTTGGTCGTCACCAGATTTATCCCCGGACGACGTCGCAACAGTGCACCGCGATATTACAGTATTCCACAATATCACGGCATCGTACACCGACTCGGTAGGATTGCGCCACGATGTTATAGCATTGAACCCCGAGAATGTTGAGAACAACGAACAAAGATCGCTCGTCGGCCGGAACCTAGACAGCAGAACCCCACTATGGCAGCACGACAATAGCTGCATCCGGCTGCCCATTCAATTCATTCGATGGCTTCCGGGGGCCCTCTTAAATCTAGCAGCTCGCATCGCAATCGTAATAGAGAGCCGAGTGTCCATCGTTGTCGGAATCTTGGACCGTGTCTTCGAATACATGCCCCGTCTGATCAGGATCGTGCTCTGGTTCTGCTTGTTCGCAACAATATTCGTGAATGGGAGCCTCCTTAGCATTGCACTGGGTCGCAACGAGTCACCATCAACGTTCTTCATTGTCGAAGGTGTATCGACATTTTTGTGGGCGGTTCTTACTCGCAGTGTTCGGAGCAGAAGCATACCTGCAGACAGCGAGTCTCAACACGTATCTCCACGTAGCCTATCTCCAGACATCTACGATGAAGTCTGACAACGCACATTCTCCGTATCTCCTTGGTTGCCCGGAGCGAAAGTGACTCCTTCAGAGGTTGCTAGTCCGAAGACATCGCGAAAACAGGTGGCCGGCGCGGTGAACGTGGAATCATAACATTGAGGCTGTGTGCACATTGCCTTTTGCTACGTATTGGTGGGACGAGGGCATCTGCGAGATATAGACCAGGTCGCATCGATCATAAACATGAATACAGTCCATGCCTGGTGCGTGCAAGGGATTCCCGTGGTTCTGTTGTATGAATAGGCAGACTCGGGAAGTAAGAAGGTCTCCAAGATATCGCGCAAAAAGGCAGCTGGCCACGGGTTCCACCGCCCCACTTTAATGACGGAGTCCAGTCAGAGAAGGAAAGCACAACCACGCAGACCAGAATGATGGAAGCAGCGGAACATATCATTGTAGTTCCAAAACTGGATATCGTGTTCGTTCGTCTATGGACTAGTCTATCATAAGCATCGCATTACCATGATCGTCATCACAGAGAAAACAAGAAGAAAAGTCGAACAGAGAAAACTTTCCCCTCGGCGCCAAACGTAGCCCTTTAGTATACCACGCCGACCAAATGCTTTTCACTTTGCCGTTACGCCTTCGCAGATGCCTCTCCGCTTAAGAAGCTTCCTCAACGCCGTCTGGCTTTTGTGCCTCGGCATCCGTCATCTCCGCGTCTTTTGGCTCTTCCGCCGGCGGCGCCTCAGCCTGCTTCTTGGACTCGGCTTCCCGCTTCGCGCGCTCAAGCTCGGCTTGCTTGGCAGCGTGCTCCTTTTGGTGCTTCTCCATGGCTGCTTGTCGCTCGCCCTCGATCTTGTCGTTGTAGCGCTGGATGATGGGACCGGCGATGGAGCGGATATCCTCCTTCTTGGAGACGTACTGTGCCTTCGACGCGTCGTCGCCCTCGTCGTATAACCATTCCTGTATAGGTGTCAGCGCAGTTCATACATCGTACTGTTAATGTAACTCACCTCGATGGTCTCGAGCTTGGTGTTGAGCTTGGCCTTCTCTTCGTCGCTGGCGAATTCAGCGTAGACGTCGAGAATCTTGTCCTTGAGCTCGTAGATGAAGCTCTCGAGGTTGTTCTTCTCGTTCTCGGTGTCTTGAACGAGCTTATCCTCCATGATCATGGAGTTCTCCTTCTCGGCCAGGGTCTGCTTGCTCTCTTCGTCGAGCGAAGCAGTTCCGGCTGATAGTGGCAGGTCACCCTTGCGCTGCTGCTTCTTGACCTTGCGCATCTTCGGTGGCTCCTTGGCGGCGTCCTTGTCAACGTCCATTGCCTGCGCATAATTTGTTAGCTCATTTGTTACGTGCGCAGAAGCAGGACGCGCAAGTACAGGATCAGCGTCAGGCTTGTGTCGTTTCGCGGCAGGCTCGGGCGGGCTTTGCCGCCCGTTACTAGGATCAGAAGGAAATTCGGAACGTACATCACCCTCTTTCTTCTCTGCTGACGGAGACTCGGGAATTGGCTCCTCAACTTCGGTTTCCTCGACGTAGTATCCGGATTCGACGTTGAGCACACCGTGCACGTTGAGGCGTGCCTTGAGCTTGCAAATCATGAAGTCGCCCTTGGGGTCCTCCTTGACACCCTTGACGGAGAAACGGCCGATCCAGGGGTTCATCTTGCCTGGCAGTTGCTCGGGCTTGGCGTATCTGGCCTCGAGGTCGAATGGGTGTTTCCGGTAGAATGTGAGGATCTTGGTTGATGGCATGACGTTGCCCTTGTTGAAGACAGTCAGGTTGGTGTCCTCATCCGGAATGTCCTCTGACTTCTCCCATGTGAATTCAACGGGGTAGTTGACCATGTCGTGAACGGAGAAGTCACGGACACGGAATACTGGAGAGAGGATGGCGCAGCAGAAAGCGCAGCCACGAGCGACAGCCTCGTCCTGGTTGAGGGTGAAGGAGAGCGGCTTGCCGAAGTAGTCCTGGATCTTGGCCTTGAGGACGGGTACACGTGTGCAGCCACCAACCATCTCGATGGCGTCGATGTCGGCAGTGGTGAGCTTGGCCTCAGCGAGAGCCTGCTCAATAGGGGCGGTAGCACGGTCGATGAGGGGCTTGATCAGCTCCTCAAGCTCCTCGCGCTTGAGCATACCGCGGACATCGACGTCGTTCATGATGGACTCGACGTTGATGGGGGCCTGGTTGTTTGCGGAAAGGACCTTCTTGAGCTTCTCGACACCGGCGGACAGACGGAGGCGTGCCTTGCCGTTCTCCATGACGTCGATCTTGTACTTCTCCTTGAACTCCTTGGCGAAGTGTTCGACAAGGGCCTTGTCGATGTAGCGTCCTCCGTAGTGACGGTCCCAGGCGCTCGACTTGACGGCGAGCTCGCCCTTCTTGAACTCAACGACGGTAGCGGTGTAGTTGCTGTGGCCGATGTTGACGAAGACGACTCTCCGTGGCTTCTCCTCGGGCGCCGGGAGGTCCAGCTTTGTGATTCCCCAGCCGAGAGCGACTGCAGTATTGTCGTTGATGAGCCTTAGGCACTTGAGACCGGCGATGTCGGCGGCGTCGAGGATAGCGCGACGCTGGGCGTCGGTGTACCAGACGGGGCAGCTGAGGACGACGTCGTTGACGGGGAGTTTGAGTTCGGCAGATGCTGTGGCGCGCATCTTGGTGAGGAACATGGCGGTGATCTGGGTGGCAGTGAACTGCTCCTTCTTTCCCAGATATGTCACCTCAGCGCCGACCTGGCCGCCCATGTCGATGAGCGGCGCGGATATGAAGTCTTGCTCGACCTGGACATCGGGGTCTGTGAGGTTGCGGCCGGCGAGGCGGACGAAGGAGGAGACGGTGTTCTTGAGGTTGGAGATTTCCTGGTTCTTGGCCGTCTCGCCGACGTATCTGCTCTTGGGGCCGAAGCCTACTAGCGATCTGCGAAATTGTTAGTATGTGCTGCGTTGCGTGCGCTGCGTGCGCTGCGGGTTTACTTACGGTGTCGCGCGGTTGGAAACCTCATTTGCAATCTACTGGCGTCAGTATTTTGGTATGCAGTATGCGACCGGGGCTACTCACCACATCGACACCGCGATTCCGCGCAACAGCAATGACGCTGTTGAGCGTTCCCAAATCAACACCTACTACAGACATGTTTATCTCTGATGGCGGGGTATGTGTGGGCAAACGTGGAGGGAGTGTGTGCGGTGAAAGTCGTGTATAGAGGGTCGTGTAAAAGATAGACAGACACGGGTTCGCAAATTTCAAGTGACCGCTGCGTGATGACTTGCTGGCAATACGTCGAAGAAAAGAGAACCTTCTCGACAGGCCCTGTTTTAGCGGGGTCACTAAAGAAAGTGTTGCGGAAGGCACGGACCACGCAAATCGTCCAACAACACGCTGCGTCATATCCGCTCGCACTCGCTCCTGCCGTCTCCGCCGACGCGTCTCGATGCCGCCAGCGTCTTCCAACTCAACCCCCATGGACGCCTGCACGCCCGCCTCTGAGCACCTGCACGCGTCGACCCTCCGCGCGACAAGATAGCTGACATCAGCATGGCCCAAATCCCCCCGTACCCACTCTACAACCGCACGTACAACCTGTACCGCCTGTCCCCGCTCCACTGCCACGACACCCCCCTCCTAGTCGACGCCTCACTTCGCACCCATGCCAAGCGCCTCAAGGAACAGCTCAAAGGCGACAGCGTGCGCGGCGTGCAGGTCGACTTTGTCGTTGCCGACGACACCGCGAAACTGGGCCCCCTGGACGAGTGCACCTGGGAGCTGATTGGCGACGAGGATGCCTGGATTGACCGACATCGCCAGTCGATGGACCCCGATGCGTCGCAGCTGTCCTCCGTCTCCCAGCTCACCCCAGAGCGGGCGCGTGGACTGGAAGTGAGCCTCGAGTACGAGAAGCAGTCGTACAATGCGCTCCTGCTGCGCGACCCGGACGTCACTTCCTTGCAGAAGGGCTTCACGTCACTGCCCCTACTCCTCGTGAAGATGCCAGGTCCAATACGCGACATCTTCCTCAACTACCTCCGAACGACCTTCGATGCCCACGTTGCGCCCTTGAAGCTGCCCTCACCCTTCATCACTTCGAGTCTCGAGACTTACTTCAAGCACCTCGCCGCGAGGTACTCGACCCAGTCCATACAAGACATTATAAGGCAGCTACATATTCAATTGGCATTCCCCAATACCACAACTATCCTCAAACACGTTGAGATCACAGTCGCAGGCGGCGACATCTCTGGTTTCGTCGACAGGGGCAGACTGCTCAAGGACACCCACGATAAGCCCTTTACAGCTGCCCTGGCCGCGTATCTTCGGCAGCATCTCGCCCTCGACATATCGCACCCTAAAGTCCAGATATCCCGAATAACCTGCAACAGCTTCCACCTCGGCACCGAGCGCCTCAAACTCGTCGCACCCGATCCGCTAGCGGACACGTCCTTCTCCGATGAAGGCGGCGCATCACAAGACGCAAGTGCGAGCGAACTCGCCGTACAAGAGCTCTATACATCCTTAGTGCGAGAGGCTGCTGGCAGCGGGAAGTTTCTGCCGGAGGAGTTGACCAGCGTATCGAGAGAAGAGACGCCGTCCTCCATCGCAAGCGCTAAAGTGGGGCGCAGGAAGAGAGCCATCAGCAGCACTGCTGTCACCGATGGCAACAACAAGAAGACCAAAGGCAGAGGGAAGGAGAATAACCGGAAGCTCAATGGCATGGCAGATGTCTAGGCATACCTAATCCTGGGTAGTACATTTTTGCAAAGCGCTTTGAATATTTCTTAAGATACCCAGAATCAGATTTCCAGCAATGAAAACAGCGCATCTCACCCCATCTTCTTTGCGCCTCAAGCCGACACGTGCCACGCTGGTATGCCACGGCTCTCTCACTGCGATGTCGCCACCAGATCAAGATCGGCCACATCAAGCCTCACACTGTCAAACTTCTGTCCGTCCACTTCCAACCCTTCTACTCCCGCTACATCACAATGAAGGCTTTTCCCATGATACTCGTCCGCGAGTTCAACGGACGAGAGACTAACTACCGTGTTGCGGCCCGTCGAGCTCGCAACTACTGGGTATGTCGTCCAGCTACTGCTCTAGCATGCGCCGTATCTTACCTCCACATATACCTTCGACATAGGCACTTGATCAGAGCCATCACATGCTAAAGCTCACAGGAACTCCTCGCAAACGTGCACAACATCTTCGTCAAGCCGTGGCAACGCTACAACGCGCATCTTCATTTTGATGGTCATGCTTGCGACGACCGGATCAGTCCGAGCGAATGGGATGCTGGAGGCTACTTCGATCCCGAATTTGTAGTGGACGGCAGACTGGTACTATATGTACACTTCGAACAGGTGGAACCACCACCAGAACCTAGCATAGATGCACACAATCCTTTTGAGACGGAGGAAGAGAATAAGCTATGGTACCGGGGAACCTATGGCGATCAGGGACTTCGAACGAAGGTAAAATCGTTAGGCGCTTATTGAGAACTTGGCTGACACGATGCAGAGAAAGTTCACGGAAGACATCGAAGATTACCTTGGAGAATCGAAAAAAGATTCGTCTAAGCCCTTTCCAAAGGGACTGCCACACAACCCTTCCAATACAGAACCGATCCTCGAGTCAACCTATACACTCAAGAGCACACTCGCGTTACCGGTTGCTGCCAACAAGGTGGCGACTGTAGATGACTCGAGCAGCAGTCATCATCTCGACACTGGCGTCGTGATTGGGCGCGCCCTCCCACAAAGCTGTCTCGATCCTAATGTTCGCCCTGTCGTTCGCGCCGTGATCAGCAAAGTCGGCGCTGTAGTCGCTTACATTCCCGCGAAATACTCAAAACGGAGCGCAATCAAAGGAGATATACAGATCGCGATGACACACGTGGAATATACACCCGAGCTGGTCAAGTTTACCTTCGGCGAAGAGAGAACGCGAGCCATAAAAGCTATGATCGAAGAGCGAAATGCACCTCACAACACGGGTACACCTCCAGATCCTGATCTCTCTACCGTGAGTCCGTCACTATCGGACGTCCGTGAAGCTACCGCATCTGAGGTGTCGTTCATCATCATCGATGATACAAAGCATCCAGGCCTGCGCAAAGAAGGAGTTGTCATCGGCCATGCGAAGAAACACTGGTGTCTTACACCACACAAACGTCCTGCTGTTCGTGCAATGCTAAATAAGAAGAACTCCGTCATTGCGTATATTCCCGCACGACACACTGGACATACGGACAGGAACGGTGAGATACAGATTCCGTTAAAGGACGTAAATCTTTCGAAGTCGCTTCTAGCGTTGCCGCTGTGGAAGCTCCCTGGCGCGATCAGAGCAATGATGAGGACGAAGAGGGAGACAAACGAGAAGTCTGTGGTGCATGAGTCAGGTGAGCAAGAGGGAGGCATGATGAAAAGGAGGAGAGCAGCAGAGACCAAGCAAGCTATCGGGACTGCCGCGAACGATGACGAAACAGACTCTTTTTCAGATTCTACAGACGTTCCCGAAGGCGGTGCTCAACACTGAGCGAAAGCCGCTTGACCGCATCTGGGCGCTGGGTATATACAAAAGTCCTCCATTGCTAGGTACACAATCAAGTCACGAGCTTCTGATGTCATTCTACCCCCTCTCTTTCCCGTTTGTCGATGCCTTTGCGTCCGTGTGACTTCCACTAGCAATCGCTACACACGCACAATAAATATCCCGCAAAGAAGCTCTAACTCCCTGCGACATCTCTCCTTCGTCACTCAACTTCTTATATATCCTCATCCACCCTCGATTTCCCAATCCAATACTCACCGCCGCGATTCGAGATGTCGATCACCAGCCCTACCTTGATCGAAGTCAGAGACTTCGCAATTGGTCCTGACTTATACCGCCGACGCGCGTCTGACTTGAGCGACTGGGATGACCTCATCGAGTATACGTTCAACGCCTTCAACCGCGATGAACGCTACTTCAGACTGCACTTCCATTTCTCTCGGGAAACACATTGTGTGGAGGACGAACTGTTGACGAAGGAGGACTGGAATGACGGTATCTATTTCGTCGGCGCCAACAGACTATTCTTTGCCCATTTCGTCACGAGGGCTCGACGTGAACCTCGAGGTTACTACCGGAGGAGGGAGCCTTCACCATCTCCAGTCAGCCCCACACCTGAGCCTGGGTCGCCGGTAGTACCATGGACTATGCCTCCGCTGCCGCCAATGAACGAGCAAGGAGTTTACGAGTACCCTCCGGCGAACGATACCCCAGCTCCATCTGCTCCTGCGCCTACACGTCGTCCAGCGATACGTCCCGGAGGTGGACCTCGACGTGGACTTGCACGTGGACGCGGACGTGGACGCGCATCACAACCCGCTCAACGTCCAGCACCTCGGCCAGTACCACCACCAGCTCAACCCGTTCCAGCCGTCCATCGACCCGCTTCTCAGCGACCAAACACCAACGCAACCAATGTATACACCATTGGTCCACCAATACCGGCTGATCGATACCCAAACTCAAGGTACTTCTCCTCACCTTACACCTTCATTCCCCTGCAGCCTGCTCCACCCCGACCACGAACACATGCTCAACAGTACAGGGCCCCTCTTCCAAGGTCAGACGCACCGGTAGCTAGACCTGCGGCTGCGACATCAGCTTCGGCAGTACCCGTTCGCGCTCCTGTCGCCCCAATGTTACCTCCTCGACCAGCTGTTCGCCAACCAGCTGGTGGATCCACGTCACGTCAGCCGACTACAGGGAGCTCAAGTCATCAACCAATAGAGATCTCATCTGCAGAGTCGTCGTCGTCAAGCGATGATTCCAGTATGGATATAGACTACAATCAGCATCCGGGCACCCATCAGCCCACCGCACCCCTACCCCCACCGCCGCCGCCGCAAAGTGAAGACTACAACATGGAGCTCTCCGACGACCCCATTTCCGACTCCGACGCGCAGAACACTCCTCTCCCCGCACCAACGTTCGATGAGTACGCGGACCTACAGTACCCTGTCGTCCGGCCTTCACCAGGACCACGATATGAAGGGCAAACAGAGGATGAGGAAGAGGACCTCACCCTTCAATCCCCACTCTACCCAGTCCCGGAATTCGAAGAGAGACCAGATGATGAGCACGAAGACCTCACCCTTCAATCTCCGCTATACCCAGGCTCAGAGTTTGAGCAACCACCAGATGAGGCAGAGGAAGAGGATCTCACCCTCCAATCCCCACTCTACCCCAATTCAGAGTTCGACCACCCACCAAACGACCAAGTCGAAGACGAGCAAATGTCCATCGCCCCCGCGTCACCAGGCTCAGGCGGCCTGTTCGTGCGAGACGAGACAGAAGCACAGAACTTTGAGGCGGCGTTGGCCTGGGAGGACGATGGTACACAGCAGTCCGTCGCTGAGTCTGAGCTCGGACAAGAGGAGGAGAGGCCGGACAGTGGAGAAGAGGATGCGATGACATTTATTGCGTCTCCTTCTGCTGCACCGTCGTCGGCTGTGCCTACTTCGGCGGGTACGGGTCTGTTTGTGTCGGATGGGAGTGAGACGAGGGGCTTTGCCGGGGCTTTGGAGTGGGAAGAGGAGTGGGAGGATGATGATGATGACGATGAGGAGATGGAGGATGAAGGAGAGGGTGGTGTCGAGGTTAGGAGGCGGTAGAGGGTTGAAGATATTACGTTTGGTGGTTGAAGAAGTCGGTTGAGGGCTACAAAAGATGTTTGCTTGTACAATTGGAATATTACACTGGGTCCTCGGGACTTTATATACTCGTGATCTGATTCTGTGTTCTTGTGTGTTGCGTTGACGACCTCCGCGGTAATCTGAGTTGGCTACTACAAGCTTATCAGTCTCTATGTGTTCTTCATCTGGGTTTTGTCTATCGCCATGTCGTCACATGTACTGCGTAGGAAAGAAGACATATCGCCCTTTTCATAAGAAGAAGATGCATTCATTCAGGTCATAAAGACGTCTCGGATACGTAATAGGGAATCATAAAGAAAAGACAACCGACGAGAACAATACACCGATGCGACTCATCCAATCGCCCAGCGCCATCAGCCCGCTACCTCCCATAGCCACCTCTTCCTACCATCATGTATCCACCTCAAGTATACACACTCTCAGTAAAAGAGTTAACCTGCAGCCCTCTCTCAGCCATATCCGCATTCTCCAAAAACTTCAACTGCATCCACACCAAATGCCCCTTGACACGATCCAACTCCGCCCTGATCTCCTTGACAGGTCTAACCATGTCATACAAATGACCCTGCTTATGTTCCTTGTCCCCAGACGGGTTCGGCGTAAACTTGTCGTAGTCCTCAAACGTAAGGATATTGTCGTCAGGATCGGCGTGGAACAGCGACCTGAACACCTCGGTGTTGGTAGTCGCGCGCTCGGTCCATTCGTCCCAAAGTTTGGATGACAGAGGGTCAGAGACAAAGTCTGCTTCGGCGCCGGGCATGGGGTCGTTTGGTGAGTTCTCGCCGGGGGGCTGCGCGTTGGGGTCGTCGGCGGCGTTGAGGGATTGGGGTGGGAGGAGGCCGAGATGTTCGCGCCACAAGCTGCTGCGGAGTTCGTGGGCGAGTTTTGCGGCTTTGTAGGGCTTGCCGTCCATTTCGATGTCGATTTCCGCGGTGTCTTGTAGGACGATGGATAGTTCGGAATCGTGGAAGCCCAATTGGGAGCGGTCGTTGATGTTGGAGGATCCGCAGATCACGGTTTTGTCGTCGACGATGCAGATTTTGGCGTGGATGTAGAGTTCCTCTTGGAAGAAGTGCTCTTTCTCCTCTTCTTCTTCGCCTTCCCAGGCTTCCTCGCTGGGCTTCTTTTCCGTAAGCATCGCGTCGTCGGCAATCGAGTCTGGGTCAATAACACCACCCTGGTCGCCTTTGCCCACATCTTCCTCCTCATCCATGTACGCTTTCCTCATCTCAGCGGCTTTGCGTCGTGCCTCGTCTCCTCCCTCTTCCGGCGGTGCTTCCAGCTCGTCAATCTCAGCTGCTTCCAGATCCATGTACGACTTCCCGGACTTCTTCTCGCGCTCTTTAAGCGTGGGAGTGACATTGATACGGTCGTATGAACGAAGATTGAAGAAGAAGATGTACTTTTCTGGATCGACACCAGCCTTTTTGATCTGTCCGTAGATGCTTTCTTCTCCTCGGCAGATACTCTTGAATTGATAGTCCATGATAGCTCGTGTTCCAGCGGCGGCCTGATCTCGAAGATCTCCCGCGAATCCTGGGATTGCTGGAATGACAACGACGATCTTGAAGTTGCGCTGCTCTTTAGCTGCTGAAACGACGGCATCGACCATTGCAGCTCCGATCTGATTGTGGACAGGGCTCTGGTCGTGTTTACCCGTTGCCGTGATGAAAAATTGATTCTCAATGTAGACGTAGTGTTGCGCGTTACGGATGACCTCGCAGTATGCGTTCTGGATACTCTGCTCATGAGGATCAATGCCCATACTCCAGTCGCCGCTACTTCTGACTAATTGCGCGTGTACAGTTCCACGGTTGTCGAGGTTCTTGCTGTTCAGCTGCGTGAGGGGATGGTGCACATATTGGCCAACAGGGAACTTGGGCCGCTGCACTCCGATCAGGTCTTCGTCGGCGCCTTCACGTCCTTCCATGGTGAGCCAATCGTATCTCTCGTCACGCTTGTACTTTTCTCGCTTCACGAAGTTCCATCGCAAGACGAAATGCTCAGCGATGTCGTAAACCGCTGGGCCAATGACACCCATTGCGACATCGTGCCATGGCATGCGACCGAACTCCAGTTTGTTCAGCTTGTTCGATTTCCAGTCGTCAACACTCTCAAAATCCATGATACGGTTATTGTTGTAATCCTGACCCGGGAAGATTTGGTTTTGAACACCAGACGGGTGGGCATCGGCAAGCGGGTGCTGCTTGTCGTCCCATCGGCCGTAACACAAGTCCAGTCCACCGATGAAGGCCATGGCATAGTCGATGACGATGAACTTCTCGTGATGCGCCCAGTAGAATGTCATGTCTGAAGCATTCTCGAAAACGTTGTGGTCAGGATGTCTCATCACCTTGATGTTTCCGTACCCAGGTTCGCCTTCTTCAAACAGGCCCATGAGTGCCTTCTTGGTGTGCTGGCTGTTGCACGTGAGAGCCGCAGAAACCTGAGTAAGTATAAGCTGCTGTTTATTTGACGCAGATTGATGACCTCACCTCCTTGTACACGGAAACATAGATTTTCACACCAGCCGCTGCACGGCGCTTGAGTACTTGGTCCAGTCGAAATTGCTGGTTGTAGTAGGGTGGTCGCTTCAGGAAGAGCTCGGGGCTGAGCCACCAGTCCGCAATGTAGATGGTCTCTTTGGCTTGCTCCAATGCCTCGGCAACGGCCCAGAAGTAATCCCTACCATCGACATACCACTTCACCAAGTTGTTGTCGCGCTCTGGTGCAAAGCTATGGAAGCGGTGGTTCTCCGCGATCTTGCTCCTCTTGGCGTCCGTCTCCTTCTCATGCTCCTCGTCGTGGCGATGGTTGGCATTGAATAGGTTGGTGAACTTGCCGACCTTATGCTTGATGTGCACAGCCTTAATATGCGCACCTCGTAACTTGGTGTGCTCGAGCTTTTGCTCAATCTCCTCAATCTTCTCAGAAGCGCGATGATTGAAGGGGTGGAAGAGCTTCTTGAGGCCCTTCTCTTGGGAAGGCATATTGGCGACCGTGCGCAGCGATCAGCAATCGCGCGGGGTAGCGATGATAGAGATGGTGAGGCTGGAGATGGAGGCTGAGGAGTGAGGCGTAGGCGACGGAGAGGCGATCGGTCGCGTGCACTGGTCTTGTACTGACCCACAAGGATGGAATAACCTGTATTCACTGTGCTGCACTTGGCAGGTAAATAGGCATGGCGCGATCTCAGCCGCCGGAGGGACCGATTGGTGACGTCATTGGCGACTAGCCTTTCCGAGCAATAGCGATCATGCACCTCCCTCAAGCGTCCATCGCGGCTGAGGCTGCAATCAGCCCGGGGGCTGGGAATAACAACCCGAAAGCGATCCAGCACTGGGTTCCTGATGCCACTACCATAGCACTACAAGAAGCTTGTCTCTTCGGTAAAACCAATTGATCAGATTCAGCATGCGCGATATCATGACCATGGGAGTTATTTTTACCCCGCGTAGTCGGCCCTCCGGCTGCTTCATCCCACCACTTCCGAAACTAAGCGCGTCCGCGCGGCAGAAAAGACTAGTATGCAGCGCATCAGCCGAGAGAAAAGTCTGATGAACTGGGGGCTTTGACAAAGAGGAACGAGTAGGTTCAAGTGCGTCTTCAAGACATCGTGAGATGGATCCCATGAGCTACCCATGGCGCTACAAGTCACGCTATCTGGAAACTGGAGACGCAATAATACCTAGGTACCACAAACAAGCATTTACGATGAAGAGTCAGAACTATGTCCATAGCCCTGATCCAACAGTAACCTCATCAGTTCGCCGAAAGCCTCCGGCAAATGATATCCTACATCAACAGCCGTCAAACATTGCTTCTAATACATACCGAGTCATAAACGTCGTTAGTCGTAAATCATCAATCCTAGGATGACCATCCCAAAGACCACTACGAAGACGCCGCGCTCCAAGAACTCATGAATGGGAGATGAATAGGCGGTGGTTGTAGCAGAATGGCAGTCGATCAAGCAACAACAACGACCGGCCAGCCGTCTTCCCAATCAAGATAGTTATATCCAAAGAAGAACTGATCAGCTGCGTAGCCAACGCTGGGACGAACTGCATCAACGTTAGCTTGGTCTCAACTTATCGTTACCAGTCTTTCACTTACCATAGTGATAGTACAACACGGTCCTCCCATTCTCAGGGTTGACCATAACGCCCTGTCCACCAGGTGCATAGATATCGCCGTGGCTAGCAAGGATAGTCGTACCACCGTTCTCCTCGAGACAACTCTTTCCTTCCTGATCATAGAAAGGCCCAGTAGGAACTTCCGAGCGGCATACAACAACGTGGTATACCTGACCCTCAGGAGCAAGACCTCCTGGAGTTTCTGGCGTATTGCAACACATACCCACGCTGTAGACCATGTAGTAAAAGTCCTTCTCTTTCCACATGATAGCGCCCTCAGCGACAGTAGCCCCGTAAGTACTATTCCGCACCATGTTGTTGATACGGTTATTTTGCTCGGCCCACCCGCCAAAAGCCATGAGGTCATCATGTGGGAAAAGCTCGACCTGGAAGATGTCGTCCCAGAAGGAGCCGAAGGTGAAGTAGATGGGGTCTTTGGGCGTCTCTTGGAAGACAAAGGGGTCGATGAGGTTGTACTTGTCGGATAGGGGGAGGCCGATGTCGCCGTGGTCTTGCCAGCTACCCGGCTCGAGGGACTGCGATGTTGCGACGCCGATGGAGGAGTTTTGGAGACCGATTCGGGAGACGGAGTAGTGGCAGTAGAAGGTGTCGCCTCGCTTCATTACTGAAGGCGCCTGTTGTGTTGGTTAGGATGGTGCGTGGCTGATTAAGGTCTAGTAGAGGGATGATGAACTCACCCAGATGTCTTGATCCGGATGGACCTGGATGCTGGTACCGTTTTGTAACAACGCGCCTTCATATTCCCATGGTCCTCCCAGGAATGGCGCACTAGCAATGGCAATGTTGCCGCTAGTCGAGAAACGCCAGTACTTATTGTTCTCATATATGACACTAGGGTCATGAATCCAAGAGCAGTTGCCGCGACATGGCTCTGGGTCGGGATAGTAGCCATCAGTTGTAGGACTGCCAGCTTGAGGGTCCTGAGGATTAGGATCAGGATTAGGATCTGGCTGAGGACGCGGTACGGGAACTGGGTTTGCGGCTGCGCTCTGTGTGAGGAATGGAATGAAGGTAGCGCTGGTGATCAGGAGCGCAGTAAGGAGTGCAGTCGTAAACCTTGCCGGTCCTGAGTCTCGGATGGTGTTTCCAAAGTGCCTCATGATCGAAGATGAGTAGTAGTAGCAAGTATTGAATTCTATGGGTGTCGAAGGAATAGATGCTCAATCGCAGATTTTATACAAGGAAGGTGAAGTACGTCAGGAGTCACGAACCGACACTTGGAGTCGAAGGCAGCTTCGTTTGCAACCACAATAGAGGGCTGACGGACCTTCCTGTTTCCGACGCTCACGATGTAAACGGCGGTGGGATTGGCTTCGAAAAGTGTGGTTCTCATGACCAGGGTACATGTAAAGGTTGTAGAATGTGAGTGGGGATTGGTCGGCGGAACTCTCGTGCGAGCCCCCACGACCAGCTTTCATTGTGTGAAGAGCGCATAATTCCATCATGGGACGTATTTTCCTGAACTAGAAGCGTCAGATGTTCTCTTCAAGCCCCCGAGCTTCGGCCTCGTATATACAGCGGTGAGGGAGTGGTGGCAAGCAAAGCCTAGGCCGGTAGCAGTACCCCGTCCGCGATGGAGCGCATGAAGAGAGTCGTGTGACATCGTCGAGCGTCTTTTGTTCGAGCACCGTGGACCTATTGCCTGTAAGCACGCAACATTTGGAGGTCGTGTACGTATTCGGATACGTGAAGTGCCGATGCTATCACGATCTCTGCGACACCGTTGGCCGATGTACCGCTTGAGTAGTACCAGTGATGTCAGGGGCTGTCCCCTCTCTACACTTTGTGCGCTGGAGACGCGATCTTCGCGGACTAGTTCCGATGCGTTGCCTTATCTGGTACCGACACTTGAGTGGAACGTTGCTCCACCAGATCCAGTGGCCGCCATTGCAGCCGAACCAAGGCCAAACGTTTCATTTGCTCCGCGATACTGGTATTGCCACATGGAAGTCCTTAATTCTCGATAATGACACCTCTAATCGTCATTAGTATGCTATGTGGTCGTATTGACACGTACCGGATTTGAGTCAAACCCTCTGGTCGGGCGCAACGTGGCAACAGCCACAACATCGTCGCCGTGTGACGATACATACTCTTGTAGCCAACCCTATCCATTTCGCATTCCGAAGTAATCATGTCGAGGTATACTCCTGTTGTTACATATTGTAGTACCCATGGTATCAGTGTTAGTGTAAGGTAACCATCCTTACTGCAGTATCAATGAGCAAGACGTGTATCAACATGAAGATCTGCTAATGCAGTGTAGTGTTGGAACGAATCTTGTTATTCGGCATTGGTCGTGCAAAGGCTCTGCACGAGAACCACACACTTGGCTACCTGCCTCTTTCGGTTTTGCATCCCTATCTTACCTGCTCTTTGCCGGTGCCTAGTTGGGCGCCTTGTAGCCTTCGACGTCGGTGCTGTTACTCCAACTCTCAAACTTCTTGACACTTTCGTTGTAGGTTTCAAGCTTCTTATTGAGAAGGCTGTACGCGTCGGTTCCAACTACGCATCGGATAGGCGGGTCGTCCATGACGGCCAAGTCGTAGAACACCTTGGCAGCCTTAGCCGGGTCTATGAGGAGTTTGTTAGCGGTCGTTCGGTATGTAACAGTTTGACCATGACGTACCTCCTGCTTGAGAGCCATGGCGCCCTTCAGCCTGCTTCTTGGGGTCGACGTGTGCGTATGCTGGGTTCGAGATCTCGCCGAAGTCCATACTGCGGCCTGACCAGTCGGTTCGGAAACCACCGGGCTCAATGCAAGTGAACTTGATTCCCCACTCAGGCTTCACTTCTTTCGAAATGGCCTCTGTGAATCCTTCAACGGCCCATTTGCTGGCACAGTAGATGGAGAAGTTAGGAACACCTAGTGACCATCAGCAGTGAAGACAAGAATGGATTAGATTTAAGCTCACCAATCTGACCGCCGATTGACGTCACTTGTTGGATGACACCTCCAGACTTCAAATCTCGCATAGTCTCCATGGCCTTTCTTGTTACATCAATGAGGCCAAAGAAGTTGATCTCCATCTGTTGTCTGATTTGCTTCTCCGACAAGGTCTCAAAGGGCCCGTTCAGGCCGTATCCAGCGTTGTTGCAAACCACGTCGATCTTCTTGAACTTCTTGATAGCCGCATCGAACGCATTGTCGATGGATTCTTTCTTGGTTACGTCAAGATCCACGAGCAGACTGTTCGAATCGTTGGCACCCTCGAAAGATAGCTTGGAAGAGTTGCGTGCGGTAGTGACAACGTAGTCACCCTTTTGCAAAACAACCTTGACGAATTCTTCGCCAAAGCCAGTGGAGCAGCCAGTGATGAGGAAAACGCGGGGTGCCATGATGACAATGCTAAGACGAGAATTTGAGGGGTGGTGATTTAGAATGATATGCAAACGTTGCAATAAGCCTCCTGTCCGTTGCAGTGGCTCTTCATATACCTAGAGGATAGACGACGTTAAGTGCGGCCAGTGTCATTACGTCAGAATGCATCAAAGGTAAGCGTAGGGTGTTGGCGGAGTTGAACCGGCAGCGACTAAGGATGGGCGAGTCGCTCTAGATCTGCCATATACCATGTTGGCAACGTCTGCAGACCCGCGACGGTAGCTTGTTCGAGAACATAGTGGGTGACGTCGGCCTACATGGCAACGGTATCTCCGGCTAGGACCGTCGTGCATCTGATCCACATGCCGTGTTCATGATGCTTCGAGATAGCATTGCCTGGAGAAGATATTTAGAGCCTTGAAAAGCGCTGAAGAGAGTTCACGGAGATGAAGCGGCGAAGTCGATGTGAAGCTTTTGTTGGCACGACCGCACCTTCTCATTGCGGGGCGTCTTGCATGAGGCGGCAAAACGCGCTCGACTCAAGCAGACAGATAACTGTGATGAGTCGAGAAGATACGGTACAATTGAAATATCGAGCACTTGCGCGTGGAGGGTGGAGATGACTGACTGGTGTCAGGCTGAAAGAGGATGTTTAATGGGAAGGAACGCGTGACGGAAGGAGACTAGCGCGACGCGAATTGGTGTCGCGAAACTGGTGCCCCTCGAAGCGCTCACCGCAGCAACAGCCCAAACAATACACCCTCCATATACCCACTTCGAATACCCCCTCTTACGCTGCATTGAAGTTCTTTTTGTAGCGATTGGTTACTCTCTGCCCAGAAAGTCACATAATACACCATGGCCGAGGTCATCAGAGACGAGGAGGTGCGCAGGCGCGTGCGTCTTGCGCAAGAGTTCCTCGACCCAGGTACGTCAAGCCGACTGTGGGGAGGATAGCAATGCTAATTATGGTGTAGATGATGTCTCCAGACGAAGGTATGCCGCAGCCATCTACACTATAGAGCGCGCACTGACCGCTTCAGCTACCGCGCAGACATTCTGGTGATGCTCAACCGAGGACTACGAAGACTCACAGTAAGTGTTATATGCTGCAAGCGTCTACGCATACTTACTGTGTTCAGGTCAGCATAGACGAGATCCGCTCACATAACCGTGAACTCGCCGACGGCCTCCTCAACTCGCCCTTCGAATTCACAGAAGCCTTCGACCGCGCCCTCAAAGACGTTGTACGCACATTCACCGACCGACCCAAGTCCGAGACAAGCGACGATGTGGTATACTATTGCGCGTATATTGGCAGCTTCGGCGAGTACTCGTGCAACCCGCGTACTCTGGGCTCAAACCAGCTGAACCACATGGTGTCGCTCGAGGGAATCGTCACCAAGACGTCTCTTGTGCGGCCCAAGGTGGTCAAGAGCGTGCACTACAACGAGAACAAGCAAAAGTTCCATTCGCGAGAGTACAGAGATCAGACCATGACTACCGGCGCTGCGAGTACGAGCGTCTACCCGACGGACGATGGCGAGGGCAACCCACTCGTCACTGAGTACGGCTACTGCATCTACCGCGACCACCAGACCATTTCCATCCAAGAAATGCCTGAGCGTGCCCCTGCTGGTCAGCTACCGCGCTCCGTCGATGTCATCTTGGACGATGACTTGGTAGATCGGGTGAAGCCGGGAGACCGCATACAGATGGTCGGCATATACCGCTCACTCGGTAATCGCAACGCTGGTGCCGGGAGCTCGACTTTCCGCACCCTAATCCTAGCGAACAACGTTATCCTCCTCTCTTCCAAGTCCGGTGGTGGCATTGCCCAGGTTTCTATCACCGATACCGATATCCGCAACATCAACAAAATATCCAAGAACAGGCGCGTCTTCGAACTGCTGTCGCAATCACTGGCTCCATCTATCTACGGACATGACTATATCAAGAAGGCGATTCTGCTGCTCCTCCTGGGAGGACAAGAGAAGAACCTCGAGAACGGCACTCATTTGAGAGGAGACATCAATATCCTCATGGTCGGTGATCCCTCAACTGCCAAGTCGCAACTGTTGCGTTTCGTTCTGAATACCGCCCCGCTTGCCATCGCTACAACGGGTCGCGGTTCGTCTGGTGTCGGTCTCACGGCAGCTGTCACCTCGGACAAGGAGACGGGCGAGCGACGTCTCGAGGCTGGTGCCATGGTTCTCGCTGACCGTGGTGTCGTCTGTATTGATGAATTCGACAAAATGTCCGATGTCGATCGAGTAGCTATCCACGAAGTCATGGAGCAACAGACCGTTACCATCGCCAAAGCCGGCATCCATACATCGCTCAATGCTCGTTGCAGTGTCATCGCAGCTGCCAATCCCATCTTCGGTCAGTACGATATCCACAAGGATCCGCATCGCAACATTGCTCTTCCGGATTCTCTACTATCGCGTTTCGATTTGCTGTTCGTTGTAACAGACGACATCGAAGATGCACGCGACCGTCAAATCTCTGAGCATGTCCTACGTATGCACCGTTACCGCCAGGCTGGTACTGAGGAGGGTGCACCGGTTCGCGAGGAGGGATCTCAGCTGCTTGGTGTTGGTCTTGAGACCGACGCTGATGCAAATCGTCCGACGGAAGTCTACGAGAAATTCAACCCCATGTTACATTCCGGCGTTACAATCACCGTCGGACGTGGTGCAAACCGAAGGACGGAAGTCCTCAGCATACCCTTCATCAAGAAATACATTCAATATGCTAAGCGCGAGAAGCCAATCCTTACGAAAGGCGCTGCGGATCATATTGTAGCAACATACTCTGCACTACGAAACGACGAGCTAGACGCTGGTACCCGCCGTACTTCCCCCATCACCGCACGTACTCTCGAAACACTCATCCGTCTTTCCACCGCCCATGCAAAGGCACGTTTATCGAAGCGGGTAGAGCAGAAAGATGCAGACGTCGCAGAGCAGATCCTCCGTTTTGCCTTGTTCAAAGAGGTCGTCGAGGACGACCGCCGCAAGCGAAGACGGACAGTCCGCGATCCAGACGCTATGTCTACAGACGGAGAATCGTCCGGCGGCGACGACGAAGACGGTGATGAGCAAGAAGCCACACAATCTCGCCGCACCGGTGGGCCATCGACCCGCAGGCAGCGTACAGAAACCACGCGCACTCCTGCAGCCGAAGAGGAAGGCGGCGAGGAAGAAGACAACGAGGACCTTTACAATGTCACGCCGAAGACCCAACGCACGACTGATCGTACACAGTCCTCTCGCGCCGGTCAATCGTCGCAGGTCAGCGCTGCTTCTTCACGACCCGAATCGCAACTACCCGCTACACAAACCGAGTCGCAGGAATCGCAGAGCATTACATCGGCACGTCTGCAGGTGTTCCAAACAGCGCTTGGTCAGCTCATCGACGGTCCGCTGTTTGCAAACGATGCTGCAGATGTCGAGCCGCTGGTTGCCGCTGTAAACGCAAGACTCGGTGGAGGTAATGGACGCGAGGCGTTTGACGAAGATGAGGCCGAGAAGGCACTTGAAGCTCTGAGCGAGAGGAACAAGATCATGTACTCTGGAGGTATTGTGTATAAGATTTAGAGGGCCTGACTGGATTGAATACATGATCGAATGTGGATATGACGCGATGATTATTAATTTTGTTGTCAGTCCGGAGTCTCATGGCGTTTTTGATCGGAATTCGGATTCATTGGCGCGATTCAACGATTCGTTACTTCAAATGCGAAGAGTTACTCGATATAAGCATGATCAAGTGTTGAGTTCTGAAACTTGACCAACATTCCTAACCCCGTTTTCTCACGATGTTTACCGCCGGTTAGACAAGACACATCTAGGACTAGAACGCTCGGTTGCTGACAACCCCCAATAAGGGTTCTAGCAAATAGGACCGGAATGATGGGGGGCCAAGATGGAATGAGGCACCCCAGCCTTGTACACCCCGAACATAAATGGACACTGTTTGTTGGTCGTTTAAAATCTTGCTTGACCTCCGTCCTTGTTGGCTGACATCTTTTCATAAACAGCTTCGCGAATCGGCGAATGTACCAACCATGCGCCTCACCGTTCCCCTCTTCATCTTGTTCACATCCGCTACTATACGCGCCTCACCCGACACACGCGCATGCTACGCCGCCTCCAACTCAATCGCGCCCAACCACCACCCCTGCATCTCACCAACAACCCAATCCATCTCCCACTGCTGCTCAACCACCGACACCTGCCTCGGCGACACCCTCTGCCTGAGCCAATTCGGCACCCTCTACGTCGGCAGCTGCACGATCAGAGACTGGAAGGACGGCGCGAACGGAAAAGGGTCGTGTCCCAAATACTGCGCTAGCGAGGGAAACGATATCGGACTGTGCAGTTGGGACAACGGCTGGGAATTTTGCTGCGGTTTGCTGGGGAAAGGGAGTGAGGAGTGTTGTAAAGGGGAGAGGTTCACGTTGCATGGGAATACGACGAGTGAGTTTGTGGTTCAGAGACCTTGGGGTGTGGATGCTGTGGCCGAGGGAAGCGCTTCTTCTTCTTCGACTCTGAATCCGACTGCATCATCGGTCTCGTCGCAATGCCCTACTCTCCCCGCCAACGCAACCGATGACGGTAGTAGCGAAGATGACAAGATCCCCGTCTCCCAAATTGGTCTGGGTGTTGGCCTCGGCATACCTCTGCTCATCGCGCTTGGTCTGCTTTTTTCGGAGAACAGGAAACCCCGGCATGTGGAAGCGAGGTTGGAGATGTCTCGAGGTGAGTTGGTGGTCGGACATGCGGGGTATGCAGCTTCGAATGAAGGCAAGCCTGGCACGTATGTGGGCGTCGAGACCCACGAGGTTGATGGTTTGGAACAAAGGAATGAGCTTTCGTCTGACAGACCACTGTATGAGTTGGCGCATGGTGGCAGATAGCTTTCATGATACATAATGCATCATGCCTGCAAGCAAGGGTGGATACGCAATGGAAACAAGGTCGTCGATGTTTATTTCATTCATTGGTCATAT